TGCATAATACATTTCCCTTGAATAATAGTTCACAAGAGAGAAGTCCACAGAACCTGAAATGGCTAGTTCACACCTTGTGCCTAATTAGGATAATGTAAACGTAAGGTGGTTTGCATTTGTAACCAGAAGTTACAGGAATTTATGGCTTCCCCTCTACTAACAACACTTGTCATCATGCAACTCCTCAGGCAAGCTGGAGTCAATCTATTTGGGCTTCTCTGATATCAGGTGAGATACAGGATTATGAGCCATTCATACCAGGGAGAAGAAAATCCAGCTCTATGGTATGCTTATGTCTCTCATTTTACAGTAACTATCTCCCAACTTTGATTTTTTCATCCTTTTAGCACACTGGGATGTAAGGTGGTGAAGCTTTCCCCATTCTACACATGGGAAACTGATGCACACAGAGATCTATAAATAAGAGAGATCCAGAAGAAGGATGTATGTACCTAAAATGGGACTTAAGATTTAGCTACTAAATTTTGCATACCTAAAAGTTTACTTTTGCTTGTTCTCCTTCTGGTCTCATGTCTCTTGCATTCCTGGCTGCTGAAAGGCCCAGTTTCAACAGGAGAGGGGAATATGCTCCCCTTCCCCTACCCCTTTTTTTTTTTTTTTTTTTTTTCTGCCCCCCCCCCCCCCCCCCCTTTTTTTTTTTTTTTTTTTTTTCGGTTGAGTGGTTTTCAACCTTTTTTCATTTGCAGACCCCTAAAAAGTTTTCAATGGAGGTGCAGACCACTTTGAATTGTAAGTGTGGGTATACTTTTGATTGATCATAGTCATCTTTCATGGATCCCTTAGACATTCTACAGACCACAGGTTGAAAACCACTGCTTTAGCTTGATGGTTAGATTACTCTCTTGGGAAAGCAGAAATACGGATTGCCCAGTTCAAAAAACACTTTTCTCCAAGCAACTTTTCTGTTTCTGGAAGAATGATTTTCCTGTTAGACTGGCCAGTGTGACCAAAGAACACAGAGGAATATAAAAATTTCATTGACTACTCCAGTTTCAGTTTAAACTGATCAATATTTTACCTTGAGAATGCTTGACTACATGTGTCTCTTCAGTCCCTAGCTAGACTTATTATGCCAGGGAGGCTGAAGTTGACAGCAGTAGCTTTGTGATTCATGGCCCCACTGCCTTCAGAAGGTAGGAATGGAGGGGATAAGAACTCTGCTGCAAGTGAAATACCCCATTACTGTCTTAAACAAAGGGCCAATAAGAAATACTTTGAAATACTTTCTGAGTAATATAAACGTTTTGCTAGGTGCTGTCTGTCAGTAAAAAAGCAAAAACAAAACGCTAGATCCATATTCTAAGGGTTCCTACTAACAAACTCCAAATAATACCTCCAAACAAAAATCTGGGGAAATGAAATTACATCTTCCAGGCTCCCATGATGCGCATTGTTTCCCACCTCACAAGCAATGAGTCCCAGGTTTTAACCAGATCCAACTTCGTTAAAAGGAAAAGGGAGACACAAAGCTTGAATAAACCTGAATCAACAATAAGTAAAACCTACCCCAGAGTACCTGGGGAATCATCTTGAATGTAATCCTCCTCATCCCTGAGAGGCTGGTGAGGTAGTTGCCTCCCTTCCTTTGTTACAGCACACTTATTGTTCATTATTTAAACTCAGAGGATTCCACATTTTGAGCAGCTGTTTGCATTTCAAGGGGGCTCCCCAGACTGTGATCACAGATGGCTATGGTGGATAGTGAGAGCCTTCATGCTGTCTTCTGCTCTTAGCAGCTTCAATTTAAGCATTTGCTGATTGGCTATGCTGCTCTGGCATCTGTACTACTTCTGACCAACAATCCACTGAAACAGTACTTAAGGGGGAGGGTGGGGGGAAGACTGGGGGAAAAAAACTAAGGGGTGTGACTAGGGAGGAGCAAAAATACCAGCTGTTGGTGAGCCACTACTGCTACCACTGGCAGCTGGGTTGCTGCCACTGTCTCACATACCACTGCCACTTAGGATACAGAACTGCCCTGTTACACCCCTGGGCCATTGCTCTGTTTCCACTCCTGTGTTACTGCTCATTGTAAGGCTTCTGTGCTAGTCAAGCATCTAGGTCAGCAACAGTTAACCCCACTAAGCAGGGCCAGCTGAACCTCAGTCTGCTGATTGGTTACTTGGCTACTTTTAAGGAGTTCTTGCAGCACCTGCTCCCTGATGCACAACTGGAGAGAGGAATGGCTTCAGTCTGTGTGTAGCTCTCACCTGTGTGACTTCCCTGACAAATGTTTCTGCATTCAGAAATACCATGATGACCACGGTGGTTTTACCAGGGACTGGGAATAACCGCTTTTCTGGCATGGGGTAGTACCTGCAGAGGTAATGTCTGTTGCCCATGGGAAGATATTGGCTTTATGCTCACTTTATGGAAATGCAAGACTCCTCCCTAGTTTGCTCCTGCAGCCAAATGGCTGAGGGCAAGTCAAACTCAGGGGCTCTTTCAATAATTTTGAAATGTCTCATTTTACTTTCATCTACTTGCAAACATCTTAATTTTTGACCTGTAGAACTGTCAAAATTAGCCTTCCTTGGGGAAAAATAGTTTAATGAATTGGCATTTTCCAAAGAAAAAGGTTTGAATGAATTTAGTTCATTCTTCTATACCTTCCTAGGGAGGAAAAGAGGCTGTATGAGTGCTAGGTAGCTCCAAGCTAAGCTCACTTCCAGAGTTCCCTTTGTAGCAGTGTAGTTACCACATGTCAGTGCTTACTGGAACAATCTGTCTCAAAGATATTCAGCTCTCCTGGGGAATGCTTGGCTGTTGCCTAAGATACTGAGCAGAACCATACGTAGGCTCTCATTGTATTATGCAATGAGAGAGGATGAGTTAATATCTATGCTTGAAATGGTGAAGCTGTCCTTTAAGGCCAAACCTCAAGAGACAGAATCAAATTACATGACTGACATGGGTATTAAGAATCTACTGTCAATGTGGAATCAAATGTTCCCACTGAAGGAATACTTGCCTTCCCTGATATTTTTAGGTCAACACAAGCCTGAAAATGCCAACTTTGCTTTATCAGCAACTACCAGATCCTAAGGCTGAATTTATGATCTAATTTCCATGTAAATGTCTCTCTCATTTTTTGGGAAAAGATCCGGTCTATCAGACACTAATCAACTTACAATTTTCATTAGGGAGAAGACAAATCAGATACAGCTGGGATCATCACCCATGTTCTTGAGGATTTCTGTTCTCCACAGTTTAGAAGCTCAGCCTTTGGAGATAATAGATATGAAAAACTATAAATTGTATATTTCAGGTTTACAGGCTTCATTTTACAGTGACTTTCAATTATATTGCTGGAGTTTCAAACACATCTGAAGAGAGAAGGTGGATATGCAATTGATTAAGAATTTGGGATTTTTTAAATAATTTTGTTGCTTCTGAATTCTTTATTAATTTTTTTACTAGAATTACATACTCTTCCACTTGTGGGATGGGAGGTATTATATAAAGCTCTGGAATGGTTTGAACTCTTAGTTGTGTGCTTAGACTTCTTTTTGATAATGAATTCTGGTAAGTATTTGTGCTCTTATCTCATTTTCTAGGCTTAGGGCTTGATTCAGTGAAAGACACAGATTCCTAGAAGATAGGATCAATCTACAGTCCAAACTCTTTCTTCACTTAACATCAGTCACTGAATTAAAAACAGGAGGAATCCAGTAAGCAAAGGCTAGAACTGAGTCTTTTCCTCATATAAGTACCCTAACATTGGGATACATAGTTGGGCTCTTTCCAATGCCTTATCTGGTCCCATTATTCTGCACAGTATCTCAGTTTCAGTAGGAGATATGGAGCGTACTCTCCTCCCCAGGAGCCTACAGCATGGTGGTTAGAACACTTAGGAAATATGGGGTTGAACCCTTTTAGGCTGAGGGAACTAAGTGCATGTCTCTTACTTCCTGGTTGAGTGCACTGACCACTAGGGAATTATCTAAAAGGTTGGTAACATGGGCCCACCATTTTGGAAGAAAGTGGCTAGCATTTTATGAGGTGGTTGATCCTGTCAGTGTTGTTAGGTGTGCTCAGAATGTGCTGTCTGGATTGGGCCCTTATTGGCTTGTCCATACTGCAGCAGCAGCCTATCCCAGGGAGAATGGGGCAGAGCACCCACCTGACTCCACAGGTACATGCAGAAGTTTCCCATGAGTCTGCTCTGGGATGCTCCCAGTGGCTGCTCTTGAACCCTCAGTATCCAACAGGCCTGAGGTCAGCCACTAAGAATAAGTCCAAGGTGCAGAAGCCTAACTAAGAGAGCAGGGATGGAGGTGCTGAGTGCCAGCGAGTGGGGCCAGATGGAAGGAGGCGCCAAGCTGCTGCAGCTATTGGATAGACTTTGTGGGGGCTGCCATTCTGATACCCCCTCTCAACTGGTACTCCAAACTGGTGCCCACTCACCCATTCCTAGTTATGCTACTGCCTGTCCGTGCGTAAACTGGGTGTGTCTGGTTGTGTACCCACTTCTCCAATTGAAGGGAGATGTTGGCAGGGCAGGTATGCAGTGGCGGGGAAACTGCTGGCTGCATGCAGCTTCCTTCCTTCCCCTATGGAAAGCCAAACCGGGATACTATATATCTTAACTATATACAAGTTTATTAATATTTCCAAAGCATTAAGAGATAAATATGCATATAAACACAAACACATGTATATACATTTACATATCCTGTAAGATTATTACCCTATTCTCTCTATATTCACATTACTAGGGGAAAACAGGCGAATCAAAGATAAATACTACAGTGGAGGATCCTAGCTAGGCCTCATTAAAAGTCACATACTTTAACTTCTATCATATTATAGATTTACAAATATAATGATACACAAAATATAGCATACAATATTGAACTCCATTTAAATCTAAATTCACATAAACATTGAATATTCATATACTAACATATACACTTCTATACCTCCATTTTAAACAAATACTCAGACCCACAAGATAAAACTAATATTTCAGTACAAATGACACAACCTTAAACTCTATTAACTCACAGCTACATAACTATAAACATACAAAACATAAGACGCCCTCTCACAGAATACAAGGCGCAGCAACCCTTGAACTCAAGTTAACTTTACAGGCACATGAAGACCCAGGCTGCTCTGGAGCCTTGGCTGCATTCCTGTGGCTGAGAGGGGGAGGGTAGAAGTTTGCCTGGTGCCCTCTAGGCTTCCCCCCAGTCCAGCCAAAATATTTCTCAATACCCTAAAACTCCAAATCAGGGAGCCCTGTCCCTCTAGGCTTCCCCTGCAATGGTCAGACCTACTGACCCGGGTATATTCACCCTCCCCTGTGGGAGTCCTTTGCCCTGGTAACTCATGACTCTTCGGTTGTGCTGGAGGGTCCTTCTCTCTCTCTTGGGGACCATGTGGCTCCTAGGGCCTGGGTTTGCTCCTGGATCCACCATGCAGCACCACCTGCACCGAGTCTCCCTGGCCTCATGCCAGGGGTGGGAGACCCGAGCCGCCTCATATGGCTCCAGGGTCCCGGTCCTGCGTGCACCACACTGTGCACCATCTGAGCACCAAGGAGCTGCCACTTGCCAGGGGATGGGGACCTGAGCTTCCCCATGCAGCTCCCAGGGTCTGGGTCCACTCCCAGACCACTCCATGCAGCACCACCTGTACCGCTCTGCCCTGGCCATGCCAGGGCTGGAGACCCGAGCCATCTCATGCGGCTCCCAGGGTTCCACCCCATATACCAGGCTGTGCACCGTTCCTCGCTCCTCAGTGGTGGGGCTAGGACGTGGCCGCTCACCACTCCCCATCTGGCAACGAGAAGGGGTCTTTGGGCTCTTCTGGGGCTGCCGCATTCACCCCCCTTGGCAACTCTCCCCAGCTCTTCTTTAGTCCACCTTCCCTCCTCTCCATCTCTCGCAGTTGTGTCTGTGTGCTGGGCATGTTGTTCTTTTATAGTCTCCGGAGGCTCTGCCCCAGGATTGCAAAACAGACCAATCAGGCTGAGGGACAGTAGGGTCCTCACCCAGGTCCAGGCTCTTCGCCTCGCCCTGGTCAGGGGTAGTGCAGCCTCTCCTCCATTGCCTCCTGATTGATAGGCAAGTTCCACCAATGGCTCAAAGCCCTTCCTTTCCAGCCAGCAAGCTGGGCTGCTACCGGTATGACCACCACACATGCCTCCACTATATACATGGCCTGCTTGACTCCATGGATACACTTCAGAGCAAACAGCTGACTGGTGACTTGTTGGCTCTGAAGTATGTCCACAAAGTAGGCAGTGTGTGCATGAGGCACGGACAGGGCATGCTTAATTCTGTATTCTCTGGGGTCCACCGGTGCCATTGGATAGATACATGTCTCCTGATAGGGCTTAGGCAGGATTTAAGCACTGAGCTGCTCAGACTGGGGCAGTTCTGGAAATGTCCAGAAGGAAAAATCTGGGTGTAGTGGACTTAAAGTCAAATAGAAAAGTATCTCTAGGGTCAGGCAGCAGCTAATCAGGCATTTTTTTGGAACACAGTTTTTGATTTAAGTGCTTAGTTTTTGCTGATGTTTTGCATTAGACACCTGTGTGGAATGATCACAGAATCCTTGGTCTGCCACTTCTATTAGGGAGGACTAAAAGGCTGCTCTACGGGACAGAAATAAAGATCAGAGTGCCACTGTAGGGTTTG